TATTGTTTTTTTACTGTTGTTTAATTTGAATCGTTTTGAAAATGGCCGACAAACAGACGCTTATTATCTGATGTTGTGCTCCTCATCAATACTAGAGTGGCATATTTAAAATGGATTCTTTCCATTATGAGCTACAGTGGGATTAATCATGAATTTTATGGATTTCTTATGTTGAACACTGATTGTTTCAATGTTTATCCAATATCCACTGTTCTATAAAATTTGGTAAAGGATGTCAAACTTAGTCAATTATTCATGTTTGTTTTTACATATTTAGTATCGAGTTTGTAAATTCCTGGAACTTGCTTCGTGTGGTATGAACTTGTGATGGTTTACCAGCTATCTATAATCCAACAATTTCCTAATCCACCACTTTCTCTAAATTCCCAAGTCCTAACTTGATTCCTTCAAGATCTCATAGTGTGATTATTTTAGTTTTTCTTTGAACTCTTTAATTTAGTGGAATTTGTTTACATCAGTATTAAATCAGTCGACAGTGCATTTACTACAAGATCCATGAACGTCAAACCTTTGTTGTCTTATCTTTATTTTCCTGTGTTTCAATACTGAACTGGCTATAAATTGTACAGGTGAATGATCATCTTACCGTTGAAAGCTTTTTGCAATCTCTGGGCCTGGAAAAATATGCAATTTACTTTAAGGCTGAGGAAGTATGTGACTTCTGGTGATTCTAACGATGTTTTTAACTTGCAATGCATAATCTTTCCATTCTTGTGATGTGGACTTCCAGGGCTTACAACCCTACAGTCAGTCTTGATCTCTACAAGTAGAAACATATCTAGGAGAAGGATTGTTGAAATAATGAAGGAAATAAAAGGGTCTAATTAAGAAATTGAAATGACATAGAAGGTATCAATTTTTAGGCAGGAGCCAGGAGTAAAATGGTAAACGTGATATGAATTATGTACTTGATCATGAATTTACTCTTTTGGTTAGCACATGGTATCCAAAATTTTCAGGTTTTGGGAAAATAAAGGATTTTTTCATGGATTAATTGATTTTGATACATTCTGCAGGTGGATATGTATTCTTTGAAGCAGATGGGTGGCAGTGATCTGAAAGCATTGGGAATACCTATGGTAATTGGCTTTGTGAACTAATAACCAATCATGTATTACTTCGTGTATTTAAATATCCCTTCATAGCTCATAAAAATATACTAGTGGCCGGTAGATGAGGTAGCATCAAAAACATTATAAAACTTGCTTTGCGGCTGCTATTGTCCACTGAATAAGTAATATGGAAACGAGAATTTAATTCTCTCTAATTTTACATTACAAAGAGCCTCAATATATAGTACAAACTGGGAACAAAAAAAGGCAAGCTTCTAACTAGGGAAATA